AATAACAATACATTACATACTTGAAAATTGCCAAGGAAGTAGGTTTTAAGTGTTCTCACCACACACATACAAAGATAAGTAAGCGAAGTAAGGCATGTGTTAAACAGCTTGATTTATCCACTCCCCAACGCATACACAGATCAAAACACCATGTTCCACCATAAATACATACAATTTTTGCTTGTCAATTGAAAAATGAAATTTAAAAAACATGTAAAAAGGAAAAGCATATAAGAAGGTTAGAAAAAAGGCACTTTTTCTATTACTTTTCCCCTTAAGTGTGGGCCTGCTTGGAGACAGATGCCAAGAACCAGCACTCCTGTTTACCGCACCTGCGCTCTGGCACTGAACGGCCCACCTCACCACTTTGCCTCACTTCATTCCTACAAAGGCCCCGAGATGTAGATGTTACGGTCATACCCATCTTACAGATTTCAGAATTAGTAAGTGTCAGAGCCGGCCTGGTATGGTGTGGCCACCATACTGCGTGGCAGACGTACCTGACAGGACTAGCTTCTTAAGCATATCCTGAGAATGACCCTATGGTCTAAACAGAACCTGCATTTGGCATTCTTTTTTTTTTTTTTTTTTTTGAGATCGAGTCTTGCTCTGTCATTCAGGCTGTAGTGCAGTGGCGTGATCTCAGCTCTCTCCACCTCCCAGGTTCAAGCGATTCTCCTGCCTCAGCCTCCCTGTAGCTGGGATTACAGTGCCCATCACCATGCCCAGCTGATTTTTATATTTTTAATAGAGACAGGGTTTCACCATTTGGCCAGGCTGGTCTCGAACTCCTGACTTCAAGTTAGCTTCCTGCCTCAGCCTTCCAAACTGCTGGGATTACTGGTGTGAGCCACTGTTCCCAGCCTTGTTTGGAGTTCTGAGCTAAGAAATCTGGGAGTGGCCAACCCAGAGATTCATTCCTTATTTATGAAGAACATCTGAACCCCTGGCTCATCCATGGAACACAGGCTGTATAGAGGATCCAGGCCTTTTGTTTCAGGTTAAGTGAAAGTTGCCAGGTGGAGGGTGCCAAGTAAAAATGCCATATAACTTGCATGATTTTTACAAATGGTAGTGATTCTCTGTCCAGCCCACCACCACTGGACCACCCTGTACGTAAGTTCCCTCAATAAACTCCATGTCTTGTTTGCTGACTCCGGGTCTTTTCCAGCCCCTCGAGCATGGTACCATCCCTACTGAAGTCAGCAGGGGTCCAGCATGACGTGTGTCTAACCCCTGATAGGTCTAGCCCTGTCCCCGCTGCTGCAGGAAGCCTCAGACACCAGGGAAGCTCGCATGGTGCCTCTTGAGCCTGATCAGCACCTTTCATCTCTCCTTCAGCTTCAGTCTCCTCTCTGACAATGGCGGTACTGGACTAGTTCAGCTGGTTTTTAGGAACAGAATCCTTTTCCTAATTGAAATCTTATTCTTTAGATTTAGTCTTTAGAGAGTTATAAAAACAAAATAGTAGAACTACTCTGTCTGAAGAGAGAGAGAGAGAGGGAGAGAGAGAGAGTGTGTGTGTGTGTGTGTGTGTAGGGGTGGAAGGCCCTTAGCCCTGCTCAGTGACACCCCTCCTCCTCCTTTCTATGGTGGTACACTTGGTGTTCTGTGGGATTCAATCTGAAAAACCACTCAAGCAGATTGCCCCAGTGAAGTGGGGCCTCAAGCCCTGATTTTTTTTTTTTTAATGGAATCTTGTTCTGTTGCCCAGGCTGGCGTACAATGGCACGGTCTCACCTCACTGCAACCTTTGATTCCCGGGTTCAAGCCCCGGCCTCCTGGGTAGCTGGGATTACAGGTACCTGCCACCATGCCTGGCTAATTTTTGTATTTTTAGTAGAGATAGGGTTTCTCCATGTTAGCAAGTTGGTCTCGAACTCCCAACCTTAGGTGATCCACCTGCCTCGGCCTCCCAGAGTGCTGGGATTACAGGCGTGAGCCACTGTGCTCGGCCGAAGCCCCAATTTAAAGGAAGTCCTATGTGCACCAGGTCTGGGGCAGCCTTTCCTTGGCCCTCTGGGGCCAGGACCTGGCCATGTACAAACAGGTGCAAGGGCCTGTGATGCTGCCCAACCTCTGGGCGTGTCTTTGACCCTCTATGGACCAATCCCTCATCTGTGAGATGCAGCGGGATCTAGAGGCAGTGCCTACAAGGAGGAGGCACTGAGGGCTGGGAGGCCTGCAGCACCTCAGAACTCACGGAGGCTGCCGTGGAGACACAGAGTCCAAGGGGAATGGGAATCCCAATAGACCAGCCTGAAGTCCTGGGTTTCAAGGACCATCACCACCTCACACTCTTGTCCCTCATCCCTGACCATTCTCCCAAAGAAGTACATGGAAGTTAATGACTGGGAGACAGTGGACATCACAGGTTTACAGACTCTTAGCCAAAATTGCAGCCATTTAGAAATGTGGATTTGGGGAGTCATGGACCATTCAAGGCATAGACTTTCAGAATAATATAAGTAAGTATTTGAGAAGCTCTATTAGGAACACAGAATTTTTAAACCATGTAATTTTAAAATCCCAAACTCTCAGATTCCCCATCAGTGGCCCTTGTGGGCCAGGCCAGCCAGCGTTACTGCAAGCAGACCCGGCCAAGGCAGCCTCAGGGAGGCAGAGGAACAATTCCTCCCACATCAATATTTATTGCCTGAGAGCTGCTGGAAGCAGATCATCATGTTCTCAGCCCTTGTTTCTTTTTAAAGAACCTCTCACCCCCTTCCTTCCCCACTCCCCATCCTCAATGTGCTGACAGAATGAATCCAGACAGCCAGACAGGTTCACAGCTGGGGAGCCAGGGTTTCAAAGCATCATAGAGACACAGCTCTTAAAATTGGAGTCTCTAAATCATAGCAGCTCTGACTCAAGGAATCGTGCATTCTCAGAATCTGAGGTGCACAGGGTATTGCTCTGATAACCTAACCTCAGCATCTTAGACAGCAGCACAGAATAGGGAAGTGGCTTCCTGCTCAAGGTCACATGGCTGACATGTGACAAAGCGCAGCACAGTCTCCCACCCCTAAACTTTGCTTTTGTCACCTATTCCACTCATGGCTCAACTAGCATTCTTCTCTGTTCAAATTTAGGACCCGATTTGGAGATTATATGTAACCAGCAATATAGCCTCTCTCTCTCTCCTCTAAGATCATCACCCCCACTTCTAAGTTCTAGGAATTTCATCTTAACCAAACTTTGGCCTGAGCTAGGCAGAATCAGAAGGGCCCATCTGTGGCTCCAAACTGTCTTCTTCCCCTGAAACTGCTCATTCCCCTGGCAGCTGCCTCCCCCTGCCTCTGAGCCCCAGCTGTACCCAATCCCAGCATCAGCCCAAATTATCACTGTCTTGGGGACATCTTATAGCAGGGCAGCTATGTGCAGTCTCCAGCCTGGATAGCTCCCAGATGCACCCCTATCCCCTCACTGCCAGTGCACGGTGTCCACCTGGCCTAGAACTCTGTCAGAGCTGTCTCATTTCTCTCCCCCTCCCCACTCTCTCCAAACAAATTCAAATGCATCAACCTGCCACAGAAATGCTCTTGCAGCAAAAATATGCAACAGGATTTTTATAAACCGTCCCTTTGAAATTAGAATTACTTAGCAACAAGTTACTTAATTTACGATTGTCTGTGATTTCTCAACAGCCACCTCCCATACTTGAGAAAAAAGAAACCTAATGCACATATTTTTCAGAATGTAATGAAATGTATATGAGTATTAAAGAACACTTAGTGAACCTGGCATTACTTGCATGTAGTTAAACTTTTAGGCCTCGCGCGGTGGCTCACACCTATACTTCCAGCACTTTGGGAAGCCAAGGAAGGCAGGTCACCTGAGGGCAGGGGTTCGAGACCAGCTTGGCCAACATGGTAAAATGCTGTCTCTACTAAAAACACAAAATTAGCCAGGCCTGGTGGCTCACGCCTGTAATCCCAGCTTCTTGGGAGGCTGAGGCAGTAGAATCACTTGCACCGAGACAGTGGCCGTTGTACTCTAGCCTGAGCAATAGAGTGAGAGACTCCATCTCAAAAAATAAAAATATAAATAAATAAATAAATAAATAAACTTTTAAAGTTTGTTTCTATGTTGTCATTTTCTTTTTAATTTAAAGCCAGTTTGTTGTTTTTCAGGCCTCGTGTTTTTGTGGATATCTGGAAAACTTGGAGGTCCCGGGCCTGGAATGGCCTGTGCTGCCCAGTGGCTCACATGATCCTGTCCTCTCCTACCAGTTTTGTGACCCTGGGCAAATCGCTCCACTGGCTGGACCTCCATGTCCTCTTCTGAGGAGAGACTCACCTGCCCCAAGAGCGGAGAAGGGGGATTCTAGATACCCCTGGAGCATCAGACCAGCCGTGACTTGTCGATGATTCTGTGTCCTCCCCAGATTGTGCCTGCTGGACGGGTGTAGGCCATGGACTGATCTTCAGATCTAGGCTGGGGCCTGCATCCGTGCATGTGTGTCCCCTTCACCGTCCCCGAAAGGGCCAGGTTTATTTCTACAGCCAAATCCTTCACCCAGGGTGTTTCTGTGCCTAGAATCTCTGTTCCTCTTTCTGTGCTTCCACACATCCTTCCAAGTCCAGCTGAAATCCTTCCTCTTCAGGGAAATCTTCCCAGATTTTCCCACCCCACCCACCCTCCCAATTCTTAACATTCCTATGGAAGGTTCAGAATACAAAAACTTTAAGTGATAAGCACAGAGGCCATATTGTAATGGTTAGCATGACGGGCATGGGCTGAGAAAGGTGCGGGTTCTCATCCCAGCACGGCCCCTGCTGGCTCCGTGATCTTGGGTAAGTCACTTTCCAACACTGACTCTGGGTCTCCTCAGCTGTGGAGAGGGCAGGTGATACCACTGTGCAAGGCTGTTGGAAAGATGCGATGGAGCCCGGGCAGGAAGTACGGTGAGCAGTGGGGATGAAGTGTAATGTTACAAAGGAGAATAAGTGGGAGGGGCTGGAGCCTGCACTCAGACAGGTGACGTGGAAGGGGCTTACCTTTCTGGCAGGTGAGTCTGTGACTGCTAAGACCTTTCGCCGGAACTGAAGCTCGTGCTTTTCCTTGGGCATTTCCTTGGGGAAGAAGAAGTAGGGGATGGCAGCCAGGGCCACTGTGCCAGCAGCGATGAGGAAGCCCAGCCACCAGGCACCCACCCATCGGGGGTCCTTTATGGTTAGGCTGATACCACCTGGAAGAGAAGAGCATAGTGAAGTTAGGGTCAGGATGGTGGGCTGCCACTTCTAAGCCACCATCCTGGGACTGGCCTCCTGAGACATTAGCTGGCCCAGGCTAGGAGTCAGGAGACCTGAGTTCCAATCTCTGCCAGGTGTGTCCCGTGTGACCCTGGGCAAGTCACTGATCCTTTCCGAGCCTTGGCTTCTTCAACTACTAAGGCAGTGTAGTGCAGTGGTCAAGGCCATGGACACTAGTGGTGGACTACTGGGTCTGAATTCCATTACTAATGCATAACCTTGGGCAAGCTACTTAACCTCTTGGTGCCCCAGTTTTTGTCCTTTGTGAAATACAGATATTAGTAGCTTCCAAATCATAGGGTTGTTGTGAACATTATAGAAATTCATAGATGTGGCCAGGCGCAGTGGTGTGTGCCTATAGTCCCAGCTACTCAGGAGGCTGAGGCTGGAGGATTGCTTGAGTCCAGGAGTTCTGCGCTGTAGTGCGCTATGCCGATCGGGTGTCCGCACTAAGTTCGGCATCAATATGGTGACCTCCCAGAAGCGAGGGACCATTAGGTTGCCTAAGGAGGGGTGAACTGGCCCAGGTCAAAAACAGAGCAGGTCAAAACTCCCGTGCTGATTGGTAGTGGGATCGCGCCTGTGAATAGCCATTGTACTCCAGCCTGGGCAACATAGCGAGGCCCCGACTCTTAAAAAAAAAAAAAGAAACTTAAAAAGTAAATAAATAAAATTTAAAAAAATAAATTCATAGATGTGAAGCACTTAAAAGAGTATGTGCCATATGGGTACCTGCTCCTCCTGCTCCTCCTCCTCCTCCTCCTCTTCCTCTTTCTCATTACTATTGTGATTATTATTCTTAAATGATTGGTTAGGATTACAGTTGTATTTCTCAGACCTGCATGATGATTAATATCACCAGGGATGTTTGTCAAAAATACCTGGCCTTACCAAAGACCCACTTAGAATGACCACAGAGTGGGGTGGGAAGGTGACCAAGGAATCTGTACCTTTAACAAGTTCCCTAGATGATTTTGAGCCCCAACTAGGTTTAATTAGGACTAGATTATCCCACATGTACCTCCTGGCTAGAACACACAAAGCTCCCGTCATACTTCTTAACCCCAAGGCTGAGTTGCGTACATTCTCCTTCAATCTCCACAGCATCCGAAAATGCTTCATAAAAATACAAATGAGCTGGGTGCAGTGGCTCAAGCCTGTAATCCCAGTACTTTGGGAGGCTGAGATGGAAGGATCATTTGAGGTCAGGAGTTCAAGACCACCCTGAGCAACATAGTGAGGCCCTGTCTCTACAAATAAATTAAAAAGTTAGCCAGGCGTGATGGTGCACACCTGTAGTCTCAGCTACTCAGGAGGCTGAGGTGGGAAGATTGCTTGAGCCCAGGCATCCAAGGCTGCAGGGAGCTAGGACTGTGCCACTGCGTGAAGGGCAGAGTGAGACTCTGTCTCAAAACAAAAACAAGAAAAACCAAGTGCTCCTTGATATGCCAATCCCACATGCAGAGCTGCTTCCTCCCAGGTGGGGACCAGAGAACACAGTTGGCACTTAGCAAATGTACCTGTGAAGCCAGGGAGGGGTTTGGCTTTGCACCGATTAGACTTGATTGTCTCCTTACTTATTATCTCCCCTGCCTCCGTGTCAGGCTGGTGAGAGCTCACACCTGCCCCTCTCCAACTCCTCCGCTTTTCTCATATCAGTCTGTGCCTGCAGCTGGCATGATCTGCCCACCCTGTGAAATCCCCCATGGAGAAGGGAGTTTCGAGGTGGCAGGCTGGTCCACAGAAATGTCACATCTGCCTGTGGAGAGGCCCTGTCTGCCAGGACAATGTCAACAGCTTCAGAAAACACACCTCCTTGCAGGGAGCTGAGGTGTGTCTGGGAAATCTAGGGAACTCCTGACTCCCAGGGCTTTTCTTTCAGGGGAGGATGGGGTTGCAGCCAGAGCCCACACTCTGGACCCAGCCTTCCAGAAGGAAAGCGGGAAGGGCAGGGCTGTCCCTAGTGGCTGCTGTCCAGAGCCAACCAGACCTGTTCTGGCTGGAGGCGGGAGAACAAGAAGCAGCATCTGCCTGTTCATTCAGCCACACACATGCCACCTGAGGCTCCCAGGATTGGCAGAAAGTCTGCAGGTGAGAATGGCAGGAGGCAGGAGGCACATCTGGAGCTGCTTGGTGTGACAAGCTGGGAGCTGGAACGCCTCTGTGACATGCTCTAACAGGCATACCCTTTGGCTCTCCAAGGGTTCCAGAGCCCCAGAAACCCCAGCACCCCTCCCTCCCGGCCACCTTCAGACCAAGCGTGAGTTCCACTCCTTGGCCCACTCTGACCACTGCCTGGACCAGAGACCAGATGGTGCCCCTGGCAGTTTCCTAGACTCTGAGCTGGTCAGAACTAGAAGGGTTCTTAGAGGTCACAGTAAATGTCCCACCTGAGAGAGGCCCAGGGTAATACAGAGTCCCCAAGGCCTGCTCCAAAGTTCTCTCCAGGGTGCACTGTCCTCTCTGCTTAACTCAAGTCTTGTTTCTCACTAAAGATGGGGGCTCCCTACAGGTCAAGAGAGTACGCTCTTCCACCTGCCCACAGGATGTATGAGCAGAGGGCTGAGGGCCTGGGAGAGGTGGGGTATGGAACAGGGCCAAGACTCCTAGTAATAGTAGTGATGGCAACCACGGCTCCTTATCCGATGGCACTTTATAGTTTCTCTCCACCATCTCACTGGACTCTGATTGCAGCTTTGGGGAACAGACAGGACAGAGATTATCTCACAGATGAGAAAGCTGAGGTTCAGAGAGGCTAAGAGGCTTGCCCAAGGTCCGTGGTGCTGCTAGGATTTGAACCAAGGTCCCCAGACTCGGTGTCTCCCATGAGAGTGGCAGTTAGCTAGTGTCTAGCAAACGTATGCTCTTGAGACTCACCTTCCGGCATCCGGTTAATGTCCACATAAAGGCGCAGCATGAGGCTGCCCAGCCCAAAGGCCAGGCCTGGCCCCATCATGGTCACTGCAAACAGGATCCCTACAACACAAAGCTGGGGTTAGGACCCTCGGGCCCTGGCTTCCCTCCACAAACCAGTGCCTGCCCAGTCTCTGATGGGCGAGAACCCTCTGTCTCCCCTGGTCAGGCATGGGGAACTCTCTGGGGCTTCCCTGGACCTTTACTGGCCAGATGGGGAAGGGGGCAGGGACTCCATGTCCAGCCCCAACCCTGGGTCTCTCTTCCTCCTAGCTGAGCCTGGACTGACCCTCAGAGGCCAAGGGATGGGACCAGTCCTCACCGAGGTAGAGGGGCGAGTTGCTGTTGTGGGCAAAGTCATCGATGTAGGAGATGCCGAAGGGCTGAATGGGCACCCCGCCCACACCCAGCAGGGTCTGTGCCACGAACATGATCCCCACCAAACCCAGATGCTGGGCTTCCGTGGAGCTCGAGCAGTTGCCGTTGGTGGGAGCTGGGGCTGGGGCCGAGGCTGTGGGCAGGCACAGGGAAGCCTCAAAGTCCTGTGGTGTATTCTCTGAGAGATGACAATGACAAATATTACGACAGCTAAGACTTCAATAGTGCTTACCCAGGGAAGGTACTATTCTAAGCGCTGCGTATAGAAATCATTCGAGACCTACAACAAACCTCAGAGGTGAGTGCTCTCATTATGCTTGTTTTGCAGGTGAGGAAATTGATACTCAGACAGCAACTAGCAAGGGGCCAGGGCCAGGACTGGAATCCAGGAGGTCTGGCTTCAGAGTCTATGCTCTTAAACTGCCCTCCACCACCTTTCTGAGCAGAGGCATTTGCAAGTGCCACAGCAATGATGGCCCCTGGGTGGGGCGGGGTGGTCAAAGGAGGTGAAGTTTGAACGGAGTCTGGAAAAATAAACACAATTTTCCAGAAAGAGAGGGAGGGGAGGGGTGTTCCAGGGAGAGGTCACAGTACAGGGCAAAACCCAGGGACTTGAAAGGGCACCGTGCTGGGAGAATCAGAAGCTCAGAATGGCTAGACCATAAAGTGTGAGGGCAAGGCCAGGGCTGAAGACAGGGTGGGGCAGGATGGGGCAGCTGGGGCTGGATGGTGGAGGGCTCTGGGGCCCTTAGCATTCACTTTGGTGAGGGTTCCGTGTCAGCTTGGGACACAGATGTGGAGTACAGAAAAGAATTTCTTAATTTAGCACCCTACGTTTGTTCCTGGAGCTCACCAATATTTGGTGAGCAAACTTGAGGAGACCCTCACACTACTATTATCCCAAATGTGGCTGTAGAAGCAACCTTCTCTCTGCAGCCCTCCATTTATAGAGCTGGGATTCTGAGCTGTGTCAACTCAGTCCAGAGAGCCACTCCCTTGGGCTGCAAAGAGCCATGTGAACCCAGGTCAAGAACCTGAAAGAAGCCTTCCATGGAGGCTGCCTGGGACTTGCTGTGTGACTTTGACAGAGGCCCTTACACACTCTGGGTCTTGGTTTCTTTCATCTTTCAAATGAAAGAAAGAACAAAGTTCTCCAGATAAAGAATTCAGAAGCAGAATCAGTAATTCAGCAGTTCAGAGCAGCAGCGAAGGCAGGGCGACCTGGGTGTGTCCTTGGAGCAGTTCCTCCGCTCTGTGAGCCTTGGTTTCCTCCCTCGTGAGGAAGTAATGATAACCCCTGCCTCCTGAGACCGTGAACATTAAGAGTGATGGGTGGTGAGTGTGCCCGGGCATGGGGCCTACTAGAAGTTAGATGTAACAATTATTACAGAGGTCGTGTCTGCCTTCCCCATCCCTGTGTCCCCAGTGCCCACAGAGGGCCTGGCACAGAACACAGCGTCATCAATATTGGATAAAGAATGAGAGAATGGAATAGCCTTGCGCATCAGATCAGGAGGGGGACTTGGAGGTCCCCAGGTCTCTCCCACTCTTTGGGCTGATGTAAAGATGGGGGCTCAGAGAGGAGAAGGGCTTTGCTTGAAGATTGAGGGGCGCCTATTGCAGAGGGGGGTTGTATGGTAGTGAGGATGAAGAACATCTGTGACCCTGCACAGGAAAAGCTCTGTAAAGTGAAAATTCTGTACAAAGAAATGTCAGGAAGTATTAGTTTTTGGTATTCCAAGGAGTTCTCTTGACAGATCTCCACGCAGGCCTGGAGAACCGCTCTGTGTTCTTCATGCACGCGCTGGGCTTTCCCACTTCCCTGCCTCTGCACCATGCCCTCCCCTCCACCTGCAGCTCCCACCTCTCTCTAAGCTGTAGCTCAAGTGCCACCTCCTCCAGCCCCTCCAGCTGCCAGGGTCCTTCCCCTGTTCAGGGCTCTAATGGCCCCCTCCGGCCCCCTCCCAAGGTGCTGGGCGCTCTACCTTGTAGCAGAGTTGCCCGTGCTCACTGCACCCCACTGGGTCATGTCTGCTTCATCTTCCCTCGCCTCTCCCTGGCCTCTGGTCTGGTACGGAGTGGGACTTCAGGGGTATGAGCTGGTGGGAGGGTGAGGGAGGAAGGCTGCTCTCTGACAGTCCTCCTACCCTGGGAAGCCTTCTTCCACGCCAGGCCGGGGTGTGGGCTCCTCCCACCCCTGTGCTTCCCTCCTCACACAACTGAAACACTGTCCCCTCTTGCAGACTGGAAGCTCCCTAGAATACAAAGGACTGATTTCCCCCGAGAGGCTCAGGCACGAAGTAGGCAGCATTAAGAGTTTGTTGGGTATCCCACTGAATGGATAAATAGAGAAACGGATGAGTGGGTGGATGGATCGATGGGTGGATAGATGACGGATGAATGGATGGATGGGTGGGTGAGTAGGTAGGAGAGGGAAGGAATAGAGAGTGATCAGGTTGTTAGGGTCATTCTCTGAGGCAGGCATCCATTTGTCAAGTAGGCTCTCAACAAAATCCCACGGGGCTGAACACGGCTTCATCATTCCTGCCCAGAATTCTTTTAATTTTTAAATTTGTTAATTCACCCATTCATTCTTTCTTTTGCCAATGTCTTTTGTGAGGATTAAATGCCTGACCACACACTGAGTGCTTAGAGCAGTGTCTGGTGCATAGTAAGTAGTGTATGACACTATTATTATTACACAGGCAATTCCTGAGGGTCGACTGAATGCCAGGCCCTCAAAGTCGGCTGTGTTGTAAATTCACCCGCACCTAAAACCCACAGTGACATACAAGCAGGCCCTCACCGCTCTGTGCTGGGCCTACTTCCTACCCAACTCCCCAGGCCTGCCAGAGACCCACTGGGGCTGGGGCCTGGGGAGCCGGCTGGGGCTGGGGACCTGGGATGCTGGGGTGCATCCTGCCCGATGAGGGCGCCTGGGGGTGGGCCCCGGCACAGAGCAATGCAGAGGTTCATGTCCCACTCCTGCCCAGCCCCTGCTGCTCTTACCGGGGCTGGTGCTGTCGTAGCGGTACGGCTCCGAGATGAAGTGCGGGAGAGTCATGAGCAGGCCCGCCAGGGACACAAGGATGGCCCCACAGCCAATCAATCGGGGCCGGTGCACCCGGCTGCCAAAATAGCTCACAAACACAATCAAGGCTGTGTTCCCCACCTGCAAAGGGACGAGGTGACCCATTAAAGTGGAGCAGTGCCCAGGGCTGGGGGCCTGCACCATCCTCGTCTCCATCTCCAACCTCAGTATGCCCATCTGAATAATGGACTGAATAAAAATCACCTAGGTCCCTCCCCTAGGTCCTCCTTGGAAGGGCCACACCGCCCCCTTAAGGGAGAAAAATGAGGGCAGAGTGGAGAAAGCTAGGAGTTCAATTCTATTTGTGAACACGGATTGGACTCCATGTTAGAATATGGAGGATGGGCCATTGAACAAAGGAATTTCAAGTTTCAGTAATGTCATAAACGAGAAGAGCAAAGTCTAAAGCCAGATCAAAGCCTGGATTTTTTTATTTTTTAGACGGAGTTGTGCTCTTGTTTCCCAGGCGGGAGTGCAATGGCGTGATCTCAGCTCACTGCAACCTCCGCCTCCCAAGTTCGAGCAATTCTCCTGCCTCAGCCTCCCAAGTAGCTGAGATTACAGAAGTGCACCACCTGCTTGGCTAATTTTTGCATTTTTAGTAGAGACGGGATTTCATCATATTGGCCAGGCTGGTCTGGAACTCCTGACCTCATGTGATCCACCCACCTCAGCCTCCCAAAGTGCTGGGATTAGAGGTGTGAGCCACCACGCCCGGCCTAAGGCTTGATATTTTGGCCTTAGGAACACAATCTTGGGATGTGAGCTCTGGAGGGGACTTCAGAGCTGGCAGGTCAGGGGCAGTCTCTGACACCATGAGCAGGGGGTGCATTGGCTCTGCTGCTTATTGGTTGGTGACCATGGTGAGCCCCAGACACTCCTCGCTGGGGAATGGGACAGTATCAGCGGGGGAGCCCAGGAATGGCTGACCCTGGAAAGGGCAGCCACACTCCACAGTGGCCGTATCCATAGATAGGCCCCTGAGGCCCAGAGACAGGGAGTGACTTGCCCAAGGTCCCAGAGCAAGGTCAGGTCAGGACTTTGCCCTCCCACCTCAGAGTGGGGAGCTGAGGAGGATGTGGGGACATTGCAGCTGGATGGCCTTGGATTGTGCGGAATGTAACACATTACCCAGCAGAGAGGATTTCATGAGAATCTGCCCAGGGAAGAACAATGACTTTCTTTTTTTTTTTTTTTTTTTTTTTTTTCCGAGATGGAGTTTCGCTCTTGTTACCCAGGCTGGAGTGCAATGGCGCGATCTCGGCTCACCGCAACCTCTGCCCCCTGGGTTCAGGCAATTCTCCTGCCTCAGCCTCCTGAGTAGCTGGGATTACAGGCACGCGCCACCATGCCCAGCTAACTTTTGTATTTTTAGTAGAGACGGGGTTTCACCATGTTGACCAGGATGGTCTCGATCTCTTGACCTCGTGATCCGCCCGCCTCAGCCTCCCAAAGTGCTGGGATTACAGGCTTGAGCCACCGCGCCCGGCAGAACAATGACTTTCTTCAGGGTAAAAACATCTGGTAGGGGAGGACTGAAGGGCTGGGGCACAGCTGGACTCTGATCTCCAAATCCACCCAAAGCAGTTCATCTGCTCCTCCCTGCTTGTCTGCGGGCCCCACAGGCCTGTGAAGGACAGACACTCTGTGCCATGGTATCCCTCCCCACACCGCCCCAAGGCCCAGAGGTTCTGCTCTTGATGCTATTTAAGTCTCTCTCCCTACTGTTGAAGTGGCTGTCTTTGATTCCTTCCTGGGACAGGCAATAGCTGGATGCCTGAAAAGGCAAAGGATGCAAAGGGAGAGCAGGTAGATATGGGGACCCTGGCTAGCTCTGAAATATCCAGGACCTGATCCAGTAGAGATTCCCAAGGGGAGACGGCCAGGTCCAGGTCCTAGAAGACAGCTGCAAGCGCTCGTGGGTTTCAGGCAAGCGTTGAGACAGGGGTTGCTTGAGGACACTGGGAGGGGAAGGCCTTAAGGTGGGTAGCGGGAGGGGAGGCTGGTGGAAGGTGCGGGGCAAGGCTCCCTCACTGTCTACTCCTGTGGCTGGGCGGGGCCTGTACCTCGTTGAAGGAAGCCAGCAGCCCAGACGTCTGGCTGGAGAGGCCGAAGCGCTTCTCCACTGTGGAAATGGAACTCTTGAGGTATCCAGAGATCATGAGCTGTGCCAGCTGCAGCACGCTGTGGCACAGGACGAACAGCTGTGGGGGGACCCAGAGGCAGGCAGAGGAGGGCGGGGCAGGGGGAGGCAAAGAAGAGGAGGAAGGCAGAGAGCAGCAAGGAATAGAGATGGGGAAACAGAGTCACGGAAAGAGGCAGAGGGTGGGAGAGTGACCAATGGGAGAAGAGAAACAGACAGACCGAAGGAGACAGAGAGAGGAGGAGATAGAGAGAAAGGGAAGAAAGGCCAGAGGAGGTGGGGGCAGAGAGAGGTGGTTACTGATGTAGCTCACAGCTTGTCACACAGGACTACAAACTAGAAAAGCTGTCCTGGGTACCCTCTGGGGGCCTGGGGAATACTGAAGAGCCACCAGATCAATAGTAGGATCTTCCTGTGGCCAGGAATGGTGGGAGCCCCTCTGACTCTCAGCCCCCCTGGCTGGGCTCGACTTTCTTCCCTGTTGCACCATCCTGCCCCTTCTCAGGGAAGCTATCCCACATTCACCCAGATCCTTCTCCAGCCCACCCCACTAGTCCTCTCCCAGAGTGGCACTGTGAGGCCACCTGCACACATCGAACCCCACCCCAAACATCCCAGCCGGCCTGGAGTCTTCTCCTTTAAACTCTAAGAGAATTCCTAAGGGAAGAAAAACCTTCAAAGGATTAAAAAAATAGAGTATTTATGCCAGAGCTTAATCTACTCACTCTGTTCTGAATCTCAGTTTCCTCATCTGTACAATGAGGATGACAGCCCCCGAGTTCCCAGGGATATTGTGAGAACTAAATAAGATCAGGTGTGAGTGGAACCTGACCCAGGGCCTGGTACCCAGTGAGGTCCAGTGGATGTTGGATGTTCACAGCTGCCCTTGGTGGAGCCAGGACTGCCAGTATTCACATAGGATTAGGATCCCCAGGGCACTTCTCTCTGGAAAAGTGAGAAACAAGGGGCCTCATCCTGCACTCCAACAAGAGCACCCCCTTTCCTCTTTGGGAGGAGAGAACATGAACTGGCCACCTTCCATGTGCCCAGCAACCCAGCTGAGGGCTTTCATTCCTTTGATTCTCACAACCACCCATTCTGTAGATGAGGAAACTGAGGCTCAGAGAAAGGCTTGCTTGGCATTACACAGCCAGTACTTGGCGGAATCTGCTCTTCTGGACTCGGAGGCCCCCGCCAGGCCCTGAGAGGTACCTTGATGCTGTGGAACACACTTGGCCGCACGTCCTGAGGGTCTGGGCTGGCTTTGCCTCCAGGTGCGTTTTCTGTGCCCATGGTGGCCTTGGTTTCCTTGTCTGGTACCTGGGGTCCCTCACTCGCTGGCCCTGAGGGACAGAAAACCAGGAAAGGAGAATAGATAGAATCTCAGAGAATGGCCCTAACCTGATCAGATAGCCCTAGACTTCAGAACCAAGATCTTTCAGGAGGAATGGGCCTTAGTGGTTGATGAGAATTGGAGGATCAAATCACCTTCAGCCTTCCTCATTCTGAGGTCACAGCACTGGAAGGGACTTTCCTAAAAGGGTGTGTGTCCTTGTGCTTTTACTGGCCCGATACCTACTGGGACCACCTATTTCACACTTCACTCTGCTCCCAGCAAAACTTCCCTTTTAGAGAGAAGCTGCTGACCTCTTCACACAACAAACCTGCAGGCAATGGCCCCTGCAGTAGGGTGAGCCATGCAGACGCTCAGTCTGCCTTGGGTTATGAGACAGCCCACGCTCTTGGAGGCTGAGTCTGTCTGGCTCAGTCTAGGATCAGAAATCTGGGGCCAGGTGCAGGGTCAACCTAGGTCCATAGTCAGGGAATAAAGGATTTTCCAGGGTATATTGGAGTAGATTCCAACCCTTTCACAGGGAATCCCTGTGCATGTCATCACAGAGCTAACCAGCCCAATCCCGAAATCACACCATCAGACACGTTGCTGGTCAGGGCAGAAAGTGGCCTCCAAGCTCATCCCTTTTAACACTGGGTGATAACTGAAGAGGCAGAGCGGTCTTGGACCCTTGGCCTCCTTCACGCATGTTGGCTTTCCTCACGTGGTAACTATGGTAACTGTCAGTATCCCACTCACTGCAATGAGAGGAAAGCTGAGCCCCTTCAGAGGCACCTCCCAGGGTCTCCTGAGCTCACTCTCAGTGGGGAGCCCGGAAGCCCAACCTTGAGACTCTACCCCTCCATTTAGTCTGAAACCACCTGCTCCTCCTGGCAGCCCAGGCCTCCTTGGCCTGCCTCCCCCCCTTGGCCTGCTCCACTTCCCGCCGGAAGCCTCATTGTTTCATGTCCCTCTCACCATCTGCAGGTTTTTCCTCTCACTCTGCATGCTCTTTCTGGAGCCTGAACATTGATTTCAGGGTCCCTCTGACTGGGGGGCTCTCACTATATGTCCAGGCCTGAAAGACAAACTCAGGGATGGGCTACAGACGCCCTGAACCACCACAGGTGACATTTTTGTGCTCCTCTTACAAGGTACCTGGGAGCCTGAAGATTTTTTAAATTGAGATGTAATTCATAGCCGTAAAATCCACCCTTTTAAAAGTGCACAATCCAGTGGGTTTTCGTACATTTACAAAGCTGTACAACTATCTCCGCTATCTAATTGCAGAATATTTTCATCCCTCCAATGCAAAGTCCCCTACCCATCTGCAGTCACCTCCATTCCTCCTTCTCCCCTGGTGAACTCTCATCTGCTTTTTGTCTCTATGGATTTGCCTATTCTGAACATTTCATATAAATGAAGTCACACAATATGTGGCCTTTTGTGACTGGCTTCTTTCAGTTAGCATGATGTTTGCAAGTTTCAGGTATTAAAAACATTCATGTACGAATTTCAATGTAGACATACATTTTCAGTTCTCTTGGGTGTACACCTAGGAGCAGAATTGCTGGGTCATACGTTCATATAAAATAATTCCATGTTTAACTACATGAGAAACTGCCAAGCCATTTTCCACAGTGGCAGCACCATCTTACACTCCCTCCAGCAATGTTCCAATTTCCCTCTGTCTTTGCTCATACTTTTATTGTCTGTCTTTTCGATTCTAGCTGTCTTCATAGGGTAGAGGTGGTATCTCGGTGTGGTTTTGGTCTGCATTTCCCTAACGACTAATGATGTTGAGCATCTTTCCATGTGCTTATTGGCCATTTGTATATCTTGCTTTGGAGAAATGTCCATAAAACAGGTGGAGGAATTTGGCTGAGGAAATGGAAGTGCGTGTGGCCGGGGAGGAGTCCCTCTGAGAGGCATAAACACTCAGAGGAAGCGGGGACCTATTGAAACAAAGCTGGCATCTGACAGGAGGAGATGGGAAACTGGCCTAAGGAAGGGGGTGTCATGGGACACTCTGTGGGAGTCACTTTAAAGGCAAAGAGGAAGTAAGGCGGTTCAAAGCAAAGGTTCCCAGAGGAGGCAGAGGGGACCATTTCTGAGCCTCAGCTCCCCTCATCAGCAACAATGGGTTACTTGCTGTCGTCTGGGCTCGTGCCACAGGCTTTCTGTGCATTGGCCCATGAACCCTCTCCACAGCTCTGTCCCTTTGGTGTCTTATTATCTCTGTGCTTCTGATAAGGATGCCCAGGCTCAGAGGAACTAGCTTTGCTGGTTAGCATTGGTCCCACGACTCAAGACCAGGTAGGTGTTAAAGTCAGCGTCACTCAGTGCTCCTCATACCAGTTTGACAAGGGGAAGAAGGACAGTGCCTTTCTCTGTCTTGGTCCAGCCAGACCTAGACCGGTCACTTCATAGGTATCAGTGCCAAGCCACCAAGGGGCCAAGCCAATCGAATGAAAGCGTGGGAGCTGAGGCTGGGAGCAGAAGTCCCTGACCTGGAGCCCCAGCTCTGGAGAAAACCCAAGGAAAGGATTGGGGAGAGGGGTGGAAGACCTGTGGGCCAGCTCAACACGTGAGGCCCCCAGCTCCAGGCCAGACCCTGGACCGTCCACTTCGCTTTCTGGATATACTGGGGGCATCGTCCTGTGCCCCAACCTGTCTAGCCCCAGTTCCAGCCCCCCACCCTCTCACCTGCCCACTCATGGAGCCTACTCACCTGCCTCAGGTGAGCTCCCACTCCAGCCTCACCTCTGGCTCTCCCTGAAGCTTCAATCTCAGCCTCTTCTGCTAAGGCTCAAAGCCTTTCTGGGATTACTTTAGCCTTTAGAGATATGACTGTTTATAGAGGGCAAGGTCCACAGCCTGAGCCTCTGGGTAGGGGAGGGAAGCACTGGCCACGTCCCTCCCGGCTCTGAGAGGAGCACGCGTCATGTACTGGGTGGTCAGTCGGTCACTGAATGGGGCTTGTCAGAAAGGCTGTCCATCCCCTCTAAACCCTTCCTATGTGCTGGGGCCTCTGCTGATGGGTGACAGCAAACCCTCACCTCCTTGACTCAGGGCAGAACTCCCCTTGGAAGCAGGGTCACTTCCAAGGCCGTGTGTCCCCCTCATGTGGAAGGACACTGAGGCCCTGCCCTGCTTTCTGGGGCCTTTGTCAGGGGCCAGCCCTGACAGGAAGAGGGAAAAACCGTGGGGCTGAACCTGGGCTGGGCTGGCAGTGGCCTGTGGGAATGAGGGGACTGGGGGCAGGGAGCCAGGCCCTAGTTTAAAAAACCCAGTCCCAGGCCGGGCGTGGTGGCTCATGCCTATAATCCCAGCACTTTGGGAGACCAAGGCGGGTGGATTACGAGGTCAAGAGATCGAGACCATCCTGGTCAACAAGGTGAAACCCCATCTCTACTAAAAATACAAAAATTAGCTGGGCATGGTGGCGCGTGCCTGTAATCCCTGCTGCTCAGGAGGCTGAGGCAGGAGGATTGCTTGAACCCAGGAGGCAGAGGTTGCAGTGAGTCGAGGTCGTGCCATTGCACTCTAGCCTGGGTAACAAGAGCGAAACTCTGTCTCAAAAAAAAAAAAAAAAACCCAGTCCCTCTCTCCAAGGTGGACAGCTAGGTTTTGGGGTCCCAGGTAAGCCAGGTGGCTCCACGGCTAGGGACCCACGGCCCAAGCTGGCTGGCAGTGGGTCTGTGTGCCCACCTGTCAGTCGGTCACTTGGCTGGTCACTCATACAGGCATACCATGTCCACCTGCTGGTAAGCCAGCCAGCCAGCCACTATCTTTCAGGAGAACTGGCCGTTCAGGCTGTCAGTCAGCCACCTGCCTGCAGCTGCCTCATAAGACAGACAGACAAGTTCCTGAAAGTCTGTCAGCCAGAGACTCCCGCTTCAAGGCTGCCCTTCATGAGCAGAGTAAGCATTCTTCACAGCACCTGAGTCTGGGTGATGAGGAACAAAATTTCAGAGACCAGCCTGACTGTAAGGACCACCTTCCTTTTCCTGTTCTCTTCGAGAAAGGCCTAGGATTCTGCCTCTTTTGGCCACCTCCCGGCTGCAAAGGGCAGGTATTAGGGAAACAGGAGGCTAAGAACCGGCTTTCAGGCCTCAGACATGGGTTGGAATCCCATCTGTGCTACAAGCCCACTGTGTGAGCCTGGGCATATCCCTTGATCTTTCTGAGCCTCAGTTTCCCCATTTGTAAGGTGAAGATAACAGCATCTACTGATGGAATTCGGGACACACTACTCCTCAAATATGGCACCTTGGCCACATTTGAGAAAACAGTAGAAGCAGGTCCTAAAACCTAGGATAGTCATTCCACTCTGACCTTCTTCCGCCTTTCACCCTGAAGCAGGTCATAAGATACTCATTTAAGAGTTACTCTCTTTCTGCCAGGAGATAAGAAACAGCCGTAACTTTGAAGACTCAAGGACACAGAGAAGAGTCTGAACAAACAGGCCTTGCAAGCTTTCCCCAAGTTTATCACATTAGATCAAACACCCTGTGCAATACTTTTCGACAACTATATACTTCTTCATCAGACTTAGCGTAAAAAGTCACAAGTTTTGACATTTTAGGCTAGATGATTAAAAAATAATAAATCAGCCTGGGCAACATGGTGAAACCCCATCTCTACTACAAATGCAAAAAATTAGCCAGGTGTGGTGGTGCATGCCTGCAATCCCAGCTACTCGGGAGATTGAGGTGAGAGGATCACTTGAGCCCAGGAGGCAGAGGTTGCAGTGAGCCAAGATCCTGCCACTGCATTCCAGCTGGGGTGACAGAGTGAGACCCTGTCTCAAAAATTAATTAATTAATTAATTAATTTAATTTAAAGTGATAAAAACTAAAAAATGTAAGAATACATAGGTTTTCCTGTTTCTTTGGGCCTTTCTTTCTGAAGGCTCCCGTGTCATGTAAAACTTACATTAAATATATTTGGGCCAGGCCCGGTGGCTCATGCCTGTAATTCCAACACTTTGGGAGGCCAAGGCAGGAG